GTAGACAAAGAGAATAGAAACTGAAAGAAGTGAAAGTAAAGCCCTAATGGCATCTGTACCTCTGAGACACAGAGAGCTGGTTAGGCAGCGTGGGGATGTTTGAGACAAGGAGCGTGAGGTAAAAATACTAGCAAGGGGCTGGAGGGAAAGCTCAAACTTCTCAGCAGAAGACGGGAAAGGTCATCTATCAAGACTGAACTATAAACAGTCGCTGCCACTGACTCAGCTACCATATTCCCTGAAGCAACCCAGACTAGCAGAGTCCTGCGTGTGAGAGGCGCTTCTCCTGTAGACACAAGTGCTTTTAAGACTTATCAAACTAGTGTCCAGTTACAGATTTTCTTAGGAATATTCCATTTTTCCTCACCCTATTTGTCACTGTTAGAGATAGAGCTATCCTCCAACATGTTCACAAATCTGTCTTTCCTCGTATTTCAGCCTTTTGCCACTGTGATCCTGAAGGCCGTTTAGGGGAAGGGCAAATGCCTTTCATCACATCTGTTAGACTCAAGAATGCCTGTACACACAAGGACATCCAGTATGTGACAGAATATAAATGTAGTCCTGATAAGTGAATACACTGAGAAAATTGAAGTCATACAGTTGTCAGTTTCCTAAAAGCCTGCTCTTTTTGCAACCAGCTCCTGAAGTCGATCAGGCAATGGTGATCCACAGATTTATTTTCTTTCCTCCAAGTACTGCTATACAAGAAGCAATCTATTTCTGAAAAGGTGAAGTTCTCACTGAAGAAATCCAGCCTGTACACACACAGTTTCTAAGACACAAAGAGAAATGTATCCACTGAAAGACATCTGAAACACCTCAACACGAAAATAAATGCTCCATCGAGATAAAATTTGGCTATTCTTATCTCTAGAGTTATTACGGATGTTCTAATTACGAAGTAGCTTTATTAACGCTTTCAACCAGCACTTCTACCACAAGCAGCAGCCCCAGCCACCAGTTCCCCTCCTCTGCACCAACCCCTATAGCCCACACAAGCGCTTCTGCTGCCCATACACTGAATCAGCTCAGGAAGCTGACTCAAGACAAAAGAAAAAAAAA